TAAAGTGAAGCTGGGGTTGCTGGAGTTTCGGGCCTGGAATGGCTGATGACTTTCCTGAAGCTGGGCTCGCAGGTGTTTGGGGCCTGGAAGGGCTGATGTCTTTCCTGTGTGGGCAGGTCTTATGGATGTCAGGAGTAGCCCCGGAAGATCAAGGGGATGGGTATTGAGCAGGGGACCGGGGGTGTCCCCGCCGGAGACCTAGTCTCATGTGAAGTTGGGCTTGCCAGGGTTTGGGGCCTGGCATATTTGTATTAGTTGTTCCTTGAATTTCTGGTAGAAATCTGCACTGAAACCATCTGACTCTGGGCTTTTTTGGTTGGGAAACTTTTGATGACTTCTTCTCTTTCATCAGGGGCTATAGGTGTATTAAAATTGCTTGTCTGTTCTTGATGAATTTTGGTTAGTGATATGTATCCAGAAAATTGTCCATTTTCTTTAGATTTTTTACTTTTGGTGAGTACAGGTTTTCAATGTGTCACCTGAAGATTATCTGCATTTCCTCAGTGTCTGTTGTTATGTCTCCCTTTCATTTTTTATTGTGTTAATTTGCATGTTCTCTCTAACTTTTGGTTATTTTGGATAAAGTTTTGTCTATCTTGAAGATTTTCTTGAAGAACTAATTATTTGTTACATTGATTCTTTGTATATTTGTTGTAGGGTTTCTGCAAGTTTGTGTTGTTGTTGCTGAATGCTAACTTTAAAGCACGGTGGTCTGATAAGATACAGGGGGTTATTCAATTTTTTTTTCATTTGATGAGGTTCGCTATGTTGCCATATATGTGGTCAATTTTAGAGAATGCTTCCTGTGGTTCTGTCAAGGTTGTGAAGCAACCTTGATTCTTATCTAAATTTAAACTGGAAAATAAAATTTAAAAAAAAGAAGAATGTATATTCTTTTGTTTTCAGATGGAAAGTTCCATAGATGTCTGCTAAAGCCAATTGCATTATAACCTCTGTTAGATCCTTTGTTTCTTCATTAAGTTTTTGTCTGGTGGCCATGTCTAGTGGTGAAAGTGGGTTGTTAAATTCTCCTTTTGTAAGTGTGTGAGTTTTTATGTGTGGTTTGAATTTTAGTTATGTTTGTTTTTATGAATGGGGAAGCCTTTGTATTTGGAGCACAAACATTCAGAATTGAGTCTTCATCTCGATGGATTCTTCCTGTGATGAATATGAAATGACTTTCTTCATTTATTTTGATTGATTTTAGTTTGAAGTCCAATTTGTTAGATAATAGGATTGCTACACCAGTTTGTTTCTTGGACCCATTTGATTTGAAAATCCTTTCCCAACCCTTAACTCTGAGGTAACATATGTCTTTGAAGTTGAGGTGTGCTTATTGTATGTAGTAGAAGGATGTATTCTGTCTTCATATCCATTCTGTTAACCTGTGTCTTTTATAGTGAGTTAAGCCCATTAATATTAAGGAATATTAATGTCCATTGACTGTTATATTTTGTTTGTCTTGGGTTTGTATTTGGTGGTGTTATTGTGTATGTATTTGGTGGTGTTATTGTGTGTGGATCTACCCCACCTTTTTTCTTTTGGCTTTGTTAAAGTGGGATTATTTATTGCCTATATTTTTGCGAGTGTAGTAAACTTCCATGAGTTGAAGTTTTCCTTCCAGAACTTTCTGTAGTGCTGGATTAATTCATATGTATTGTTCAAATCGCATTTTGTCATGGAATATCTTGTTTTCCCCATCTATAGTGGTTGAAATCTTTATTGGATATAGTAGTCGGGGCTGGCATCCATGGCCTCTTAGTGTTGGTAGAATATCTATCCAGGACCTTCAGGCTTTCAGCGTTTCCATGGGGAAATCAGGTGTAATTCTGATATGTCTGCCTTTATATGTTAATTGGCAATTTTCCTTAGCTGCTCTTAATATTATTTCTTTATTCTGTATGTTTGGTCTTTTGATTATTATGTGGCAAGGGGACTTTTTTGTAGTCTACACTTTTTTGCTTTCTGTAAGCTTCTTGTAATTTCATTGGTATGCCTTTCTTTATGTTCGGAAAACTTTCTATGATTTTGTTGAATGGTTTCTTCGCATTTCACTTGGATTTCTTCACTTTCTTCTATACCTAATATTCTTAGATTTGTCCTTTACACTGTGTCCCATATTTCCTGGATATTTTATGTTAGGGATTTGTTGGACTTAAGAATTTTTTGGGTGATGAATCCATTTTTCCTAGTATTTCTTCAATTTCTGAGAGTCTGTCTTCTCTCTCTTTTATTCTGTTTGTTATGCTTGCTTCTGTAGTTTTTTATCATTTACCCAGAATTTCTATTTCCAACATTCCCTCAGACTGATTTTTTATTTTCTCTATTTAAGCTTTCAAGCCTTGAACTGTTTGAATTGTTTCTTTCATTTGTTTGGTTGTTTTTTATTGGCTTTCCTTATTTTCTTCAACAGATTTATTCATTTCTTGCAAACTTTCTTTTTTATTTTCCTCCAATTTTTGAATTGATTTCTTGTATTATCTTCCATTTCTTTAAGGGATTTTCTTGTTTCCTCTTCGAGGGTCATTATCATCTTCATAAAGTTGTCTTTAGGTCTTTCTTTTATGCTTAATCTACATTGTGATATTCAGGTCTTGCTGGTGTGTTGGTGGTGTTAGATTTTTTTATGTTGTTGAATGTGTTCTTACACTGTTGTCTTCCCATCCCTTCTTTCAGTGTGTGCATGCCGGGGGTCTCTCCCTCTCCTGGTGTGGACGGGTCCAAGATTCTCTTCAGGTGGGTGCAAGCAGGTCCAAAATACCAATGGCTCTCCTCTTCCCATGGGAGGAGGTGGGTTTAAAAGTAAGATGTTGGTAGATTCTGGATGGCCTGTTCCACTGGGATGGGTTGCCAGTCCCCTGTCCCCAGACCTCAGGAGGCTGTGATCAGGGCACTAGAAATTGGGCCAGAAACCAGCTTTTCCAGTTTTGCATTGAAGTTTCTATCAACATATTGTATTAAATTCCTCAAGAATTTCTCTTTTCCAAGAGCTATACTTGCTGAGCCTGTGTTTTCAATTTCTTTGTATAGCCATTCTGTTATGGTAAATAGACAGAACTAATGTATTTATATGAAAGGTAAGAATAAGTTCTTTAGAGCAACAGGCACTTGCATCTATTTTTCCCTTAAATAATAACAATCTAAAATTGCACTTGTGTCTATTTCTCCCTTAAATAATAACAAACTAAATGTTTTCTATAGGAACATCTTTTTCTTGAATCATCTGAGGGTAATTTGCAAGACTGATTTTTATATGCTCCTGTATTCCTACAAAGTAATTTATTAATTACTCATCTTGAAGGGCAACAAAAATGCATGAAAATTGCTTTAATTTACATATACATGAACACAGGTTGGGGTCCTTAAAACATTGGACTGTTTATTAGTTACTGTTTAGTTGCTGTGATAAAACATCATGACCAAGGAAACATATACAAGACAGAGTTTATTTAGGCTTATGGTACCAAAGGAATTAGAATTCACCATGGCAGGGAAGCATGGCAGTAAACATGAGGAAGAAGAAGCTGAGATTTCACAATTTCAAATGGAAGCATGAAGCAGAGAGGGAAGTGAAAATGGTGTGCAGCTTTTCTTTCTTTAAAAGTATTTTTTTACTTATTCATTTTACATGCTAATTGCTGTTTGTCCTCCTTCCTCTCCTCTTAGTGACTCCATCCCACCTCCACTCTTCCCCACTTTCCACTCCTCCTCCATTTCTCGTCAGAAAAGGGCAGGCCTCCCATGGTGTCAACAAAACATAGAATATCAAGGTGCAGTAAGACTCAGCACCACCCTCCTCCCTGTATTAAGGCTAGGCAAGGTCACCCAAGATGTTGCAAAGGGTCCCAAAAGCCAGAAAGAGTCAAAGACCTTCAGTGTTCCCAAGGCTAGGGTCCCACAAGAAGACCATCTACAAAATTGTCACATATATGGAGAGGGCCTAAGATGTTCCCATGAAGGCTCCCTGGTTGCTTGTTCTACCTCTGTTAGCTCCTGTGAGCCCATGTTAGTTGATTCCGTAGTTTTTCTTCTTTTGTCCTTGGTTCCTCTGGCTTCTACTATCCTTCCTCCCTCTCTTCAGCAAGATTATCCAGGGTTCAACTAATGTTTAGCTGTGAGTCTCTGCATCCGTTTTAATGTATCTGCATCAGTGGCTGCATGAAGCCTTTATGAAGACAATTGGGCTATACAGCAATCAATGAGCATAGCAGAATACTCCTAGGTATCATTATACTGACTTTTTTGTGTCCAGTCATCACTGGTTCTATTCTAGGTCTCTGGGTCATTCAGCCTCTTGGTCCTGTATCTCCAAGCAGTCTCAGTGATAGGCTCACTCTCTTGACATGGGTCTCAGTTTGGACCAGTCATTTTTGGCCACTCCCATAGCCTCTGTGCCACAGTTACTTCAGAACATTTTATAGACAGGACATACTTACTATCATTTAGTACTGTGACCCCACATCCCTCCCCCACTCTATCCCTCATGTTCCTAGCCCCACCCACCCCCAGTCTACACATAATCTCTATTCGTACACACACACACACACACACACAAACACACATACACACGCGCGCGCGCGAACACACACACACACACACACACACACACACTACCTTGTGCCCTCACTGTTTACCTATCATCTTGTAGGCTGTAATGTGAACTATAAAATGATTATCCTTTACTGATAACTAATAGTTATTTACCATTGAGTACATAAGATGTTTGGCTTTCTGGGTCTGGGTTTCCTTCCAGGAGATATTTTTTTCTAGTTCCATCTACTTGCCTGCATAGTTCATGATGTCATTTTTCTTTCTTTCTGTTTTTTTTTTTTTTTTTATCAGGGACCAAGTTTATATTTTTTAAGCATGTAATTACTGTGTAATAGACCAACTGTTAGAGATAAAATACTAAATATAGAATTGAGACACCCCAGCAATTTCCAGAAACCTAATGTGGAGACTGTCCTATATTACTTTTTTTGTTTGTTTTGTTTTTTTTATTAATTTATTTTTTACATTCCACCTACATTACTTTGTAAGTATATCACCCATGTGCATAAATATGGATCAAACTTTTTGTTTCGTCCTTCTGCTTGGGCTTATGTAACTTTAAATAAGCTACAGTGATGTGATAAGTAATTTAAAGAAATACTATTTCATTAACTACTTTGTTTGTTTGTTTTGTTTTTTGAGACAGGGCTTCTCTATGTAACAACCCTAGCTGTCCTGGACTAGCTCTGTACATCAGGCTGGCCTTGACCTCAAAGATCTGCCTGCCTCTGCCTCCTAAGCGCTGGGATCAAAGGCATGCGCCATTATTGCCCAGCCTCATTAACTACTTTTAAATCCAGCCTCATTAGCTACTTTTAAATTTTCAGTTTGGAGGATTCTCTTTTCCTAAGCTAATAATTTGACTAAGAAAGTGTTAACATGTATTTAGGGGTTTGCTAAGTCCTTTCTCTGGAGACTGCTGTGCGCTGTTCACAGGAAATGGCTTCCAATATTCACTAACTAGATCAACAAAGTCACCTTTCCCTTTACCGTTTCAATCCCATACTGTTTATACTGAAGATTGTATTTCAGTTCTTCAGTTGTAGAAGAAAATTACCACACTAGAAAATTTTCTGTACACAGAGAATAACAACCAGATGTGCCAACTAAGAAACCGTTTCAGGAATTGTTGGGAGGTGAGTTATTCTGTAATAACTATGCTTCAGTTGCCGTGCGGTGCGCCCAGACACAATCCATTTCAACTTCTGAACATTTGGTTTGGAACACTTGTTTGATGAATACTCAGTTAAACACTTGGATACAAGCTCTTGCCAGAAGGTCAAATCTCTGCCATTTATCTTGGAATGTTTCTGAATACATTCGATTCCTTCTGTTAACTCTACATACTTCAGTGCTTGGATCTCCAAAGCAATGATAGACAATGCCAACACAGAAGGCTTTGCCTTAGAAAATATGATCCTGCAGTGGCATGCCTTAAGTTGGGCTTCTAGTCTTTCAAAATTAAGATCGTTTTTCCTTTCAAATGGCAAGCTCTCTTGAATGAGTGAGTAATACAGTTGCAGAAATTGAAAGGCAGTAGTAGCTTTGACTTTCCAACATACTTTCTCCAACACAATCTTTTCCATTCTCATCAAGTCTGAAACCGTAAACCTATACTGGCTTATTCGGATCAAATCAGTTGCCAATGGGACATTCCTTTCCTCTTCTATCGATTTTACAGCCAAATAAAAGCAGCTCAGTCCGACACACCCAAGATGCTTCGCCTGTACCTTCATTTTAGACAAGAATCTGTCCAGTAAATTCACAGCTAGGGAAAACGTCTCCGTGTCGAAGCCAAAGAACTGAGTTAGACTGAGTAGATCTTTTACTTCAAAGTCCCTGAGTCTTGCAGTCATTCTGAGGCCATTATCATGTGCAGACTCAATTAGTTTCAAGCCACAGACCTTTGGCTGACATCTAGACTCCTGTTCCAACAGGGTGTTCAGCTGGTGCAGCAGTTTCTGAGAGTCAGTTGTCAGTACCTCTATCATCTTGACAGCCACAGTTCTTCCGCGGTGGTCACCACCCTCCCCGGGCCTGCTCTCAGCTCGCCCTACTTCCCCGATCTGAGAGGCCGACGAGGGGAACGGACTCGCCGGCGGGCAAGCGAGCAGAGGCCCGGGGAGGGGCGGGCGTCCCGGGTGGAGGGTCCCGCAGCGCCCTGAGTTGGTGCGGCGTTCCTGGGGGTCAGCTTCTGTTTTTTTTTGAGACAGCATTTCTCTGTATTGTTTTAGAGCCTGTCCTAGATCTTTTTCTATAGACCATGCTGGCCTTGAGCTCACAGCAATCTGTGTGCCTCTGCTTCCGGAGTGCTGGGACTAAACGCATTTGCCACCAATGACTGACTAATGATATAATTTTTTAACAGCTGAGCAATACTCCTTTGTGTAAAGGTGGGTGCCAATTTTCTTTATCCATTCTTCAGTTGAAGGCCATCTAAGTTGTTTATACTTTCCATGTGTTAGAAATAAAGCTTATATGAATGTAGTTGACCAACTGTCCTTGGGGTATGACTGAGAATTCTTTGAGTATATTCCCAAGAGTGGTATAGCAGTGTCTTAGGGTAGTTCAATTCACTTATTTCTACAAAATCGCCATATTGATTTCCATAGTCACTGTACAAATTTTCACTCACAGCAGCAATGGAGGAGTGTAACCCCTTGCTCTACTTCTTCACCAACATGAGCTGCCACTTGTGTTTTTTATGTTAACCATTGTGACTTTGTAAGATAAAACTCAAAGTCCTGTTGAATTTCATTTCTGATGGTAAGGGTATTGAATATTTCTTTTTTTCTCAGCCATTTGAGACTCTTCTTATAGAGAATTATTTTTCATTTGTGTAAAGAGAAGCTTTTTCCTTGCTTGAAGCTTTCCCGCCAGCCTGGTTCTAGAGCCGCATCAGTCCCAAATAAACACACAAGAGGCTTTATTAATTATGAAGCTGTTAGCCTTGCTTGTTTCTTACTGGCTAGCTCTGACTTAAGTAATTACCCCATAATTGTTAATCTAAGTATTTCTCTTACCGGAGAATAGTCCCGGGCTTCCTACCTCCATGGCATTACATCTTGACTCCCTTGTGTTTCTCCTTCCCAGCGTTCTCCTGGACTCCTAGTGCCTCCTATCTAGATTCCCTATAGGCCAGACAGTGCTTTATTGACAAATAACAGGCAAATAACAGGACTTCACAACATCTCCTCTTTTCTGTTTAAACAAAAAGAAAGGTCCTAACTTTAACATAGTCAAATCATATATAACAGAACAGTTATCAAGTAAGAATACAGTTACAATATTTTGTCTATCAACATTCAGCAAGATTTAAAGAAAATATCATCCATCCCATCCTTGTGAGTTGAAAGTTCTATGTAGCTTATCTTTTATCATAACTAAGGAAAACTATAATTATAACTATCTGTCTTCAACTCCATCAAAGACCACAGAAGGATAATATATAATCACTGAGATTGACAAAGACATCTTGCTACCTGGACAGTCACCCAAAGTTCCTCTGTAACGTTGGGGCATCCATCTTCAGCCCATAGGCCACAATGTATCTGGAACACTTCTCAGCAAAGCAGGAAATTTCAAACTGTTCATCTGCATTGGCAGTCTGTCAGTCATTTCTCTGTGTCCTGCAGAAAGTCTCGTAGACTCTTCATGAAGCAGGTACCCTGTAAGACTGAGTTCAGCAGTCACTTTCCTGTTGGTCCTGCATGTCCAGATTATACAACAACAGTCAAGCAGTACAGACAAGAGCAGTTTCTTGCCTAAATGGCTAATCTTGCCATGTTGAAAGCAAACTCCATAACAAGTTTCTTCAATGCCCATCTTCCTCTCAGACGTAATTGGTGCTGCCAGGAGCAGACATTTCTCATTGTCAAGAAAAACCCTAAACCATTTTAAATGCCATTTGCTGAAGGTCTTTGAGCGGTTTGAAGACTATCCATCTGTCTCAAATACATCTCTATATATCTAGAAAACCTAACTTACCTAACTATAAGTTCTGACTATTATAAGTAAATATCTATAGTCTGTATTCAATTATGTATTATGTTTTAAAAGATCAGTATAAGCACAATACTTAATCAAGAGGAGAAATATAAGCATCACAAAATTGACCTTGAATTTGTATCAATAAATGAAAAACAATACCCATACCATAATTCCCCTTCTTACCATTAAAAAAGATTGGTTGTGATCATTAACCAAGTATAAACAACCCCATTTAAATGAAAACAAAGATTTATAAACAGGATGGGAATTAGGACGTCGCTCATTCCAAACTGCTTCATGCTGGAAGGGGGCGCTTTTCATACCATGGGGATCATGACAAAACTCAGAAACTTGTATAAGTCCGTATTTTCGGGGTCTGTAAAGCTCCATCATCTTAGCTGTCTCAATTTTTGAAGCATCTGGTCCACTACTTCCAGGGGTCTTGATTTGTCAAACCACAGAAGCCTGGAACGAATCCTCAGCTTTTTATGTTCTGTGGAAACATAACCTAAAACTCCTTTTCCGAGTAACATATCCTTATACTTAAATTTTGAAGACAAGGCATTTTCAAAAGATATAAATTGAATTAATTCAGCAGCATTTATAATCAAGTGTACTTTAGTTGTTCCTTCCTTAGCAATCAAAACCTGAAAAACATAATAGCATACAGTTTCCACACTCTCTGTGTATTTTCCATCTTTATGTGGCTTATTTATTTATCTATTATTATTATTACTCTATTTCTTTCACTTTTATTTATTTTTCTCTGAGACAGGGTTTATCTTTGGAAATCTGCCTGCCTCTGCCAATGGAGCAATTCCTACCGGCGTGTGCCACCACAGCCGGCTTTTTTTTTCTCAATCTTACGTATATTTTTAAACACACTGTAAACCTTTAGAGGCTTTGTTCATCCAAGTCTGACTTTACTGTAAATCTTTACGTTTTTCTGGCCACGTGTCTTATCTGTAAAACCGCGGCTATTTTAAACTGCCGTTTTTTTGTTTTGTTTTGTTTTGTTTTTCTGTCAAGCTGGCAGGTGTAAGCGTGATTCCTGCTTACTGCCTCAGTCCATGCTGACCTCCAGCAAAAGCTGCCACTTCCAGCTGTACGTACAACTTTTCAATTGTTAGCAGAGTCTCTTAAAACAACCTTGCTGGGTTTTTTTTCCTTTTTATGCCGAGTCAGGAAGACTCCTGTAAGCAAGCCGCGTGAATCTCGGCTTGTCGCTAGCAAAACAGAGCACTCCTGAGAAAAATGCTGCTACCAAAAATCTGTGCTTCTCTCTGTTCTTCTGTTTCTAAAATTCCTTTAAATCTTTTGTTATTTTGCGTAGAAATTCAATCCCGCTCCTGACAACCATTCTGTAAAGAGAAGCTTTTTCCTTCCTAGAGGTGCATGCTTGCCTTACCATGCATAATAAATGAATCATAACACAATTATGGTATACTAATATATATTATATAGTAATACAATATAGCATCATATAATATGATAACATAAAATTATAATAGGATTATTAATAAACAATATAATGGAATTAAGGACATAAATCACTCTATAGAATTAGATAAGGCCCCTACACAAATGGCTCAGAGAACATTGTGGAAAAGGGGCAGAGATTTTGTAAGAGACACAGGTCTGGGGGTTGTCCTGAGATTGTATCTACTAATATCAGAAGTTACACCTACAAAGTCTCAGCAACATGATTGCCCAAATGTGAGCTGAACAGAGATAACAAAAATGAACATGCCACATAGGACTGGGAAAATCTGAGTTTGACTGTACCCTACTCAAAGAAATACAGACTAATATAGAATGAAGAGCATAATAAGTAGAAATGCCTTCTATTGTTGATTTTCTGGTGCCAAATGGTCAGCCCTTAATACATGCATGAAAGGAATATACAGACTGCACAGGTTATATTTATGGATTTAGGAAAATGTATCTATAAACATATATATATATATATATATAACAGCAATTAATGAAAAAGGAGCCATGAATTTAAAGGAGACAAGTAGGGTATATGGCACTTATACTAATGATTTAATCATGTTATAATCTTAAAATAAGAAAGTGTAATAAAATTCAATAGAATCCTACCACAAAATGGACATATAGATGAATAACACAAGGTAGAAGACCCAAATATGAGTTCTCATTACATAGTACCCTCAGATATTTGACAAAAGACAGAAATGTACACTGAACAAATAACCTTCAACAAATGATGGCAACCTCAGATATCTATGTGCAGTGTGAATAAAGTAAACCCACATCTACCACCCTGCCTAATGAAAGGATCCAAGTGGTCCATGCTCTAAATGAGAGCACTGAAACCTCTAGAAGAAAACATAGGCAATAGCATAAAACATAGAGTTGTAGGAAAAGGACATTGTGAGAAAGATTATGCTTGTCAAGGAATTATGGCAAAGAATTGACAAATAGGACGTCACAAAACTGATGTTTCTGAACTGCTACAGAAATATCAGTGGAGTGAGGGGAAAAAATGCATAGATAACAAGAGATCCATGGCCAAATCTATACCTGACTGAGAATTGACATCTACAATGAGTATAAACCTCCAAAAAACGTTCAGGAAACAAACATCCCAGTTACAGACTTGGGTGGAAATCTAAACAGATTGTTATAGAGAGAAGAAAAATTAGCAAAGAAATAACCTCAAAAGGTGTTTATCACACTTGGAAATCATAGAAAGGCAATTTAACAATTTTGACATTTCATCTTACCAAAATCAGATGATTTGGTAAGGCTAAGATAAGTAATAACAACAGTAAAATCCACAAACAAACAAAGTAATAACCAACCAAACAAACAAAAACAAACCTGACAGTAAATGCTGGCTAGATTTTGGAGAAAGATTATTCATCATTCGGTCTTTGGTGGAAACACAAGTTGGTACAGCCTGTCTGGCAATCAGAATAGAGAACTCTCTAAAAACTAAAAATAAATCTAGTCTATCTTCAAGTCATACTGCTCTTTTCTGTGTGCCCAAAGGACTCAATATCCTCCACTACACATGCATCCTCGGTAATGTTGATTGGTTCCCTAATCACAATAGTCAGGAAACAACCTTAATCTCCTTCAACTAATTAATGGATAGTAAAAACGTGCTTCGGACATATAGTGGAATGTTGTTTATCTGTTATGAAAAATGAAAGCATGCCATTCATGG